ATGTGGTTGATGCAAAGTCTGCATTTCGACTGACGATTGTACTCGGTCGAACTCAAGGTGATGACTGATGGTTGGACATTTCAGTGTTTAACTCGAAGAAATGCTATAAGCGGCTACAAGTGGTGTTTTCATTTCATTCCAATAACCAAGTGATTTGTCATTGTGTCGCCTGAGTTGGTGACACATGTCTCTTGTCACTCGCCTACATTTGACGTTCGATCACGTCTCGTCTGGATTCGAGTAGATGGGAATGAAGCCGGCTGGATGAGACACACTGTGGTCGTCAGTCGGACTGACGTGTATTCATCCCACTCTATGCAAGCTCAGTTCAGTCGAATGCAAATCAGACTGAGACTCCGAGACTGACAGGTCTCAGTAGGTTGTCCATTCACTTGTTATTGACAACCTGTGTTATCATTTCTGTGCAATATGAAGTTGTGACGAACAGAAGTGTTCAAGCGAGGCGTCTTCAATCACGAATGTGATCATTGCAACTTCGTCTGGTCACTTAGACAGTGTAAGAGGTTTACAGGGATATATCTGTGTCTTGGTTTCAGCTATCATATCTGTATATCGTGTGGTGCAGTTTAATTTCTAAATCGAACTGGTCACACTCTGCACACCCACGTGATCGCCGTGTTCCAACATACTGTTTTGTGCGTGATGAAGTAGAGAAGGTGAAACAAGATGTAGGGAGGCAGATGCTTGTTCTAATTGCTATTCAATCATAAACCTTGCAACAAATGAATCATCCATTCCTACACTTGTGATGCAGTCATCTGACTAGACGTGAACACAACTATTTCTCTCCTCCGTATGCTTCTCACACAAATTCGTTCAGAGTTTTATTTCGAATTCACATGAGAGTGAGTGGAACTACATTCCTTCAACATATTGCATTCTCACTGGTCGTAATTCTCTCCGCCTTTCTACCTCATGGAAGTGCCACTGTGTGACTTCGAAATACGGAAATATCACTGGAATTTGGCAGTTCACATTCGTCAGAAGCAGCGGGCTTCCGATTGACTGCATCAAATTCATCCTGAACAGATCACACTCGCAGTGTTCTCTCATGTCACTGAGTTTTGACGAGTTTATAGGCGACTGCGTGTCCATAGCTTGTCAATCAAGTGCTGTTTGGGTAACACTTGGATTGTTCGAAGATATTCGTGGAGTTTAAGGTTAGTGTAGGTTGTACAGGCTATGTCTTACTCACATGTCCATGTAAACCAGGCTTATTTGGATAAAAAGTACACACCGGAATGTTGCCTTTTGCATGGTTCAGTTGTGACAGTGGAATATAATCTTGAAGAGCCACGATATCGGTTAGCCAGGATGTCGTATGGAGTAGTGGGAACGAGATACAGATGTGATTTTCGTCAACGTCATGACTGATATGATGGAGTTGGCATCGGTAAGCGAGTCACATGCTTCTTGTGTTTGTGTATGAGAAGTATGTGGTTGATGCAAAGTCTGCATTTCGACTGACGATTGTACTCGGTCGAACTCAAGGTGATGACTGATGGTTGGACATTTCAGTGTTTAACTCGAAGAAATGCTATAAGCGGCTACAAGTGGTGTTTTCATTTCATTCCAATAACCAAGTGATTTGTCATTGTGTCGCCTGAGTTGGTGACACATGTCTCTTGTCACTCGCCTACATTTGACGTTCGATCACGTCTCGTCTGGATTCGAGTAGATGGGAATGAAGCCGGCTGGATGAGACACACTGTGGTCGTCAGTCGGACTGACGTGTATTCATCCCACTCTATGCAAGCTCAGTTCAGTCGAATGCAAATCAGACTGAGACTCCGAGACTGACAGGTCTCAGTAGGTTGTCCATTCACTTGTTATTGACAACCTGTGTTATCATTTCTGTGCAATATGAAGTTGTGGCGAACAGAAGTGTTCAAGCGAGGCGTCTTCAATCACGAATGTGATCATTGCAACTTCGTCTGGTCACTTAGACAGTGTAAGAGGTTTACAGGGATATATCTGTGTCTTGGTTTCAGCTATCATATCTGTATATCGTGTGGTGCAGTTTAATTTCTAAATCGAACTGGTCACACTCTGCACACCCACGTGATCGCCGTGTTCCAACATACTGTTTTGTGCGTGATGAAGTAGAGAAGGTGAAACAAGATGTAGGGAGGCAGATGCTTGTTCTAATTGCTATTCAATCATAAACCTTGCAACAAATGAATCATCCATTCCTACACTTGTGATGCAGTCATCTGACTAGACGTGAACACAACTATTTCTCTCCTCCGTATGCTTCTCACACAAATTCGTTCAGAGTTTTATTTCGAATTCACATGAGAGTGAGTGGAACTACATTCCTTCAACATATTGCATTCTCACTGGTCGTAATTCTCTCCGCCTTTCTACCTCATGGAAGTGCCACTGTGTGACTTCGAAATACGGAAATATCACTGGAATTTGGCAGTTCACATTCGTCAGAAGCAGCGGGCTTCCGATTGACTGCATCAAATTCATCCTGAACAGATCACACTCGCAGTGTTCTCTCATGTCACTGAGTTTTGACGAGTTTATAGGCGACTGCGTGTCCATAGCTTGTCAATCAAGTGCTGTTTGGGTAACACTTGGATTGTTCGAAGATATTCGTGGAGTTTAAGGTTAGTGTAGGTTGTACAGGCTATGTCTTACTCACATGTCCATGTAAACCAGGCTTATTTGGATAAAAAGTACACACCGGAATGTTGCCTTTTGCATGGTTCAGTTGTGACAGTGGAATATAATCTTGAAGAGCCACGATATCGGTTAGCCAGGATGTCGTATGGAGTAGTGGGAACGAGATACAGATGTGATTTTCGTCAACGTCATGACTGATATGATGGAGTTGGCATCGGTAAGCGAGTCACATGCTTCTTGTGTTTGTGTATGAGAAGTATGTGGTTGATGCAAAGTCTGCATTTCGACTGACGATTGTACTCGGTCGAACTCAAGGTGATGACTGATGGTTGGACATTTCAGTGTTTAACTCGAAGAAATGCTATAAGCGGCTACAAGTGGTGTTTTCATTTCATTCCAATAACCAAGTGATTTGTCATTGTGTCGCCTGAGTTGGTGACACATGTCTCTTGTCACTCGCCTACATTTGACGTTCGATCACGTCTCGTCTGGATTCGAGTAGATGGGAATGAAGCCGGCTGGATGAGACACACTGTGGTCGTCAGTCGGACTGACGTGTATTCATCCCACTCTATGCAAGCTCAGTTCAGTCGAATGCAAATCAGACTGAGACTCCGAGACTGACAGGTCTCAGTAGGTTGTCCATTCACTTGTTATTGACAACCTGTGTTATCATTTCTGTGCAATATGAAGTTGTGGCGAACAGAAGTGTTCAAGCGAGGCGTCTTCAATCACGAATGTGATCATTGCAACTTCGTCTGGTCACTTAGACAGTGTAAGAGGTTTACAGGGATATATCTGTGTCTTGGTTTCAGCTATCATATCTGTATATCGTGTGGTGCAGTTTAATTTCTAAATCGAACTGGTCACACTCTGCACATCCACGTGATCACCGTGTTTCAACATACTGTTTTGTGCGTGATGAAGTAGAGAAGGTGAAACAAGATGTAGGGAGGCAGATGCTTGTTCTAATTGCTATTCAATCATAAACCTTGCAACAAATGAATCATCCATTCCTACACTTGTGATGCAGTCATCTGACTAGACGTGAACACAACTATTTCTCTCCTCCGTATGCTTCTCACACAAATTCGTTCAGAGTTTTATTTCGAATTCACATGAGAGTGAGTGGAACTACATTCCTTCAACATATTGCATTCTCACTGGTCGTAATTCTCTCCGCCTTTCTACCTCATGGAAGTGCCACTGTGTGACTTCGAAATACGGAAATATCACTGGAATTTGGCAGTTCACATTCGTCAGAAGCAGCGGGCTTCCGATTGACTGCATCAAATTCATCCTGAACAGATCACACTCGCAGTGTTCTCTCATGTCACTGAGTTTTGACGAGTTTATAGGCGACTGCGTGTCCATAGCTTGTCAATCAAGTGCTGTTTGGGTAACACTTGGATTGTTCGAAGATATTCGTGGAGTTTAAGGTTAGTGTAGGTTGTACAGGCTATGTCTTACTCACATGTCCATGTAAACCAGGCTTATTTGGATAAAAAGTACACACCGGAATGTTGCCTTTTGCATGGTTCAGTTGTGACAGTGGAATATAATCTTGAAGAGCCACGATATCGGTTAGCCAGGATGTCGTATGGAGTAGTGGGAACGAGATACAGATGTGATTTTCGTCAACGTCATGACTGATATGATGGAGTTGGCATCGGTAAGCGAGTCACATGCTTCTTGTGTTTGTGTATGAGAAGTATGTGGTTGATGCAAAGTCTGCATTTCGACTGACGATTGTACTCGGTCGAACTCAAGGTGATGACTGATGGTTGGACATTTCAGTGTTTAACTCGAAGAAATGCTATAAGCGGCTACAAGTGGTGTTTTCATTTCATTCCAATAACCAAGTGATTTGTCATTGTGTCGCCTGAGTTGGTGACACATGTCTCTTGTCACTCGCCTACATTTGACGTTCGATCACGTCTCGTCTGGATTCGAGTAGATGGGAATGAAGCCGGCTGGATGAGACACACTGTGGTCGTCAGTCGGACTGACGTGTATTCATCCCACTCTATGCAAGCTCAGTTCAGTCGAATGCAAATCAGACTGAGACTCCGAGACTGACAGGTCTCAGTAGGTTGTCCATTCACTTGTTATTGACAACCTGTGTTATCATTTCTGTGCAATATGAAGTTGTGGCGAACAGAAGTGTTCAAGCGAGGCGTCTTCAATCACGAATGTGATCATTGCAACTTTATCTGTTTACTTTTTTGCATTTATTCTAATATGTTTCGCTCTTTTGTCATTCTTTTAGCTTTCTATCGAGTTTCTTTTGCTATTTTTGCTATTTTCTCTTGTTACCATTTGAATATTTTTTTTGAATTAGAATACTATTTTTGGTTTTAATTTTTTGTATTTTGTATATTATTATTACAGAAATTGGGTTTTATAAATATGTGATATATGTGTTATATATGTTGTATTTTTTTTGGTTTGAGTTTTTCATTTGATTGTTTGTTTAATGTCCCTTCGGGTTATCGTTCATATTCTGAAATGTGAAGTGACAATTAGTAAGCATTTTACTTGGGTATATATGAAGGCTAAGTTTAGAGTTTACTGTTGCAATTATAGCAGATGTAACACGTTTTGGGTTCTGAATCTGACTTAGGAAATATCTAATTTACACCTCTAATATTACGGATTTTTGAGTGCCACTATAGTCTAAAGAGTAGGCACTAATTAAGTCACTGGTGTGCTTATGATGCGAGCACTTCAGGTGTCGTAGTCAACGACAACGTATGATGTACTGTTTTAGTAAATACCAAGTCAAACTATTATAAAATGAAATGATGGAATGAGACTTTGTAAATATATGAATAGATGGTTTTCACATTATTGTCTTAGCAGATTTTGTTGGGTCAGAAACACCAAACTCAATGGAAGATAACGAGAGGTGAACGTCTGCATATATTACTAAAATTCTATCATGCTGAGTCAAAAGTACCAGTATTTTTCGGATAATGCTTACCTGTCAGCATCCTACTGTTCCACTGTTTTATACGACTAAAAATTCATTTGATTGTGTGTATTCATAAGTTGTAAGATGAAGAGTAGACATTAAGTAGGCAACCGGTAATATCCCTGTGCACCAGTTTGTGATTATTGTTTTCTTCTGAACACAACACATCAGTCTCAAGGAACATGAATTACTACGCATGCTGATTGTTTTAGTACCTGGGCAATCAGGCCCATGAACCAGTAATAATTTTGAAGTCTGAACAAAGAAGTCATTCATCCAGTGAACCCCGAAATACACCACCATCAAGAGATTTTAGCTGTTTGCTATAAAACCCTATCCCAATTACATATTCATTTGATGATATGAAAAGATGTACACTTTTTTAATCTTCAAAAAAGACTTTATAACAATGACGGGAACAGATGAACTCACAGAACACCCAGTAATGGTTGTAGGTAATAAGTGTCCCTTAGTAAAATCTTCTGCTTCGTTTCCCTTCACTGTACAAAAGAAGTGATATAAAAGTAAATGACAGTAGTCTCAGTATTCGACTAGAATGTAATGTGTTCAAAAATATTACCTTTTTTGGATATATATATAGCAATATGAGTTCAAAAATCACCATTCTTTACATCCCCAGTTTACATAGCTAATATATATATATATATATATATATATATATATATATATATATATATATATATATAAGTCAGTGATGACTGAACCTGTAGCAGAATCTTCAGTCAGGTCAACGGCTAAAAGTCGTCTTGCCATTTGCGCTTTTGTAACATCTTCCGTCATAGCTGGATCACACTGATTTCGGTGTATCAGATATAGGTCCACTGTAAAGTTGTAATACTTTACCATAACGAATCAATACAACTCAATGATGAGCATATATAATTGACGCTATGAATAAATGCTTTTGTATTCCAGGCATAGTTTCTTCAAATGACAAACTTTTGTTGACATCATTCCAGGAACTTCTAAAGCATGAATGCTTTTCCTTAATCATTATAATCAAAAGGTTCACTGTTTGTTTTGAACTCCAAAACATTGAATTTGACAGAGACAAGAATTTATAAGAAGAAATTGTGATATGCACACGTATATGTGGGATCAAACATTTTAACGATTATATGGTGACAGAAAATGGTATTTTAGGAGCCTTAATTAAAAAATACACAGGAAATTTTGCGTAAGGTAAAACAAACCAGCTAGTGGTATCATTTATAGTTATATTATAGTCTTACACATCAGACTGTATCTTAGTTATGCGTATACTTCAGTCACATAGGGTGTAGTAAGGTTAAGTCAAATATTTTATGAAATTTATGTTAGTGAATCACTCACTCAGAACTTGAATGACGATCACCTGAGTAATGTCGATAATTTGCGCCATACCCTCCTTGGCTATATTAACAAAAGATTCAGCAGAGGAACATTGTTAATAAAATTGTATTTTAAAGTTGAGATTCATTGTAGAGTTCGAAACATTGCTTATCTTCTCTGAACACGTTAATGCTACAGTAGTCAACGCAATAAGATGAAGTTCAGATCGTGATAGAAAGATAAAAAATGAGGATTACTTTAGAAGTGGTTAAAATCATTTGTTGGAGAGGAGGTAAAAGTCTTGACTACAAGAGTGACTGCTAAATGCTGAACGACTTCACCCTCACGAAACCATGAAACATGAAATTAACTACCGTCGTACAACAGCATGTTCAGTTTACAAAATGTGGTCCACACTTTGAAATATATGTAAATTACAAACCGTGTAGTCATTATGTTTAAAACCTTATTTCTTGTGCAAATTAATTAAATTTTCACTTGCATTATCTCCAATAATCACTATTAGGCGACAAACATAAGCTGGTTTCTTAGTCACCTCTGTGGGTAGGTACAGACTTCATCTTCATAACTACAACAATCGGATTAAACTATGCAGTTAAAAGTATGGTTTTCAAATCAAAATGCTTTGAAATGACCATCACTGTCGTCTACTTAAATCAAAGTTGAAGTCAAAATGTTCCATGGAAACCATTTATGTTGGGGTACTAGATATTAGTGACAGTATTTATACTATGTAGTTTCCTAAATGTAAGTCATTTTGCTTGGTTCAAGACTGAAATGGCCAACCGTAGATATAAACGGAAAGTAATCTACACACTCACATAATGTGTTTTGTTGCTTCATTTCTACCTAAATCTGTAAATAATAGTCGGCAATGCAGTTAACAATATGAAAAGTAAGAAGAGTGAATCCGTTTATCACACTGCAACAAATTACCAAATAGATCTAATGAAGTGTACAACTACAAGACACAAGTCTCTTTATGATTCTGAACCAACAGTGCACGTATTCATGAACAATTACCGTATCACAGTCCAATGCATTTGACTTTGTTCAATCTCATTCTACAGTAAACAGCTACATTTCATGCACAACTGGCTTTTGAGGAACTTCTGTTGGTCTTTTTACATAACCTGTTTTGAAGCTTCTTTTTTAATTAGAGTTTTGAAAATGTTTGTTTTTCAGAACCTACAAAAAGTATGGATTTGGCTGATGTGTCTGCGGTCACTTCTGAGATCAGTCTATTTTATACTTAATAACACTAAACATCACATCATTATCATTGTTATCACTTTTATTCCTCTGGGGTCCGAATGGGTAAATGGATTCAGCAGAGCATCTCTAAAGTCTTCATTACTGCATACTAATTGTATATTCTAGAATATCAGACAAAACTTTCGTACAGCTAGCTTAGAGCTGTTTTGTCACGAAAGTTCTACTCTTCATCCCTGCATTCTCACACAGATGGTTTTAATCTGTGGCATACTGGATTATGCAGCAGATGGATATAATAATAATATACGTTATAGTGATGAGAGTACAGATGAAGATATCGATTCAGTGAACATAGAGGAGGCAAGTAGTGACGATAATCGACCAACAACAACAAGTACAAATCACTATCAGCTGGAGAAATCTAAAGCAATTCTTCTCTTTTACTAATCTGACCTGCGTAGCATCATTTTAACTACAGGCAGCGACAACGAGGGTGTTAAGACCAGGAAGGATCAACGTGAGAAAGTAAGATAGGTAATCATTACACCGAAGTCACTGTGGAAATCTGAACAGCTTAACATAATGGACAAAATTCGATGTTTTAACACTAGTGTAAAGTCAATGAGTGCTTCTGTGTGCTTTATAGGCGCAGTGCATCACAAAATGTATTTACGAAAGGTCACTGCAGACTTTCGTCAGCAACAGCATCCGCTCAATGTTGAAGATCTGTTGCGCAGCAAGTAATAATAAGTGACAAGAAACTGCCGCCGCTACCGAAACAACCTCAAAACTATTGCTAAAAAGATATGCAGAAGGAAATAGAGATGAACTACATATTAACTGAAGAGACACTCATGTGAAATCACACATAATATCTTTAGTTGAGTGTCCGAGGGTTTCTTGGTGGAGCTTTTAAGACATTCGTGAATCCAGCTGAAAATGATCATTAAAACAGAATGCGGTAGAGATATGCCGCTTCAGCCTCATGTTCTACTCAGAACGGAAGAAACGATTGAAAAAGTAATATTCTTCACAACTTCGGGCCGTTTTAAGACGCTGATAACTGGGGGAATAGCACAGGCAAACATTTGATAGTGGTCACAATATTTCCGAAATTGGCCAAACGAGTATTCTCCTAGCAGTAAGATGGCAGCTTATAATCGAGAAAAATAGTTTAAGCACCCTAGACAAAGAACTTTACTGTTCATCAGAAGCGACATGATGAAAAGCGACACTCATTCTCACAACATCTCTTTTGCCAAATATTTATCTCCAATAAATAGTTTGCAGTCTTTCGACAAATGATTAGATAAGACTAGATCATTTTTAACAGAAGCTCTATGCTATTTATAAGCCTGAAAAAATGTGAAGTAAGCAAAAGTACAAAAATAACATACTTTCGGTACCGTGAATATCCTCTTTGGTGATCCGAATGGTCCTAAGATGAAAATAATAACAAATTATTCCAGCAGTAATCACTGCGAACAGGTCTTCTTCATATTAAAGTTTAACAATGAACATATAACTGCAAATTGTGCATCCGATTATAAGATCAATAGTCTTCGTGATGATGGGTGAGGTAATAATCACTTTGTTGTGTTTGACAGAAAAGCTCCTCTGAGTACCAATCATTTTGGCGGTGGAGATCATTCAAGGAGGAACATATTTCTTATTGATGCCTAAGATCATACAAAGATACAATTACGCTTGCTCGCTGACATTTAATCGGTGATGAACATATTTTAACAGGAAATATCACTATATCTGTATGAATACAATTGTTTATTCTAGCCTCTCTTCATTTCAGTTTCTGATGACTGAAATCCAATGCTTAGGTTCAAACTGTTAGAGTGATAATACACATATTAAAAGATGTTAATCATTTTTATGTGCACTGTTCTTAAACTTATGATGTAACTAAAAAATACCAAAAAGCTTCTCCCGGTGTATACTGAAATATAAATGTGCCTGGTCTAGGTGAGTTTTACAAACAAACAAGATAGATAAAATCTATTAAACGCTTCGCAACACTGTTGTCCTCTTACCGAGTCCGAACTCCCACTATGTCTTCTGGCACCATAATTATAAACTGGTTGTTGTGGATAACCGTACGCTGGATTTCCTACACCATAGATCTGCTGAAATGAAAATAGCAGAATCACGTAAGTTCGTTGTTTAACAGCTATCATCAAGCTCGGGAAAGCAAAAGAAAAATATACACTGAATTCATTGCTGAAATTGTAAAATATAAAAAGCATCTATGCAAAGTAGAGGTAGTGAATTGAACGCGTTTCTACCCAGCTAGCATTTTTTTGGGCGCATTTCAGAATTTTGAGCAAACTTAGGACACATTGCACACGGTTTACGGCAGCATCAGGGCACATTGTAAACTGTTTAGGGCAGGATTAGGGACACCGTCCCACGTATTTTTATGCGCCTTAAGTTTTTGTCCCGAATTATACAGTGCACCCGAAAATAATGCAAGCTGGGTATTCATGCGAAATCTTTGTTTGTGGAACATAGGTGTGTTTGAAGAGTTATTGTTTTGTCTTGTGTAGTTTTTGCAAAGCATACGTACAAATATATATATATATATATATTCCATTAACTAACATTTGTGTTATAGCAGTAACCTCGTCGACGTCTCTTATCCTCATCACTGCTAGAGTTATCACGATAGCCTCCCATTCTATACAGTAGTAAGCGCCTTTGCTTTGTAGTTTTAAGTTGGCTTCCTCAACAGAACCACGATATCAGTGCACGAATACTACGAATGCTTTTTAAACGTTTGTGTGACCTTAATTTGTAAGTTGACGATTTAAACAACCAAGGACATCTCTTCTGGTATTAAAAATTCAAATTTCGTTTTCTCGTATATTTTGTACATACTGGTTTAGCGAATGCATTGGTGAGATTGTAGACTTATCCCCATAGGCACTTGAGTTGTCTGAATGCAAAAATGAATATGAACTGATTAGTATTTCACCAATATTAAATGCAAATAGTAAATAGTTAGCTTTTTATTTAACTCAGACAATTTTCAGATGAGATTAGTGAGAGCTTATCTACTAAGCAGAATCCTCCTACTAACTGTAAACAGAATTGATTTCTGGATGGCGGATTAATTACAAAGAGCTAAATGGTGCTGGTAGTCTGATGTATTTTTATGTGGTCATTTTTCTTGTTGTGTCCCTGATACTCTCCGAAAACATCGCTGGCTTGTCTGTCGTTTATGTTAACACAGTGCAACTGTGGGGTTCGGAATTAATAATTATACAGTTTAGTCAGTTCGTCTGGGCAGGAAAATGAAATGATAAAAATCCTTCTGAACTTGAACACACCTGTAGATGAACAGCAGAAAGAGAAGATAGGACTGCAGAACTGCCATGAGAATCATCCTGAAGGAATGAGTGAAACAAACAATAAATCTACGGACATTGATAGACAAGCATATTGGTGATGCAGTTTGCAGAAATTGCCATCCAAATAAATCGGTATTCCTATATCTATCGTTGTGTTATTACCTAGCTCAGTCCGAAGCTATTCTCCGATGGCCCACTTGTAGTGGACCGAAGAAATGTGAACATTCGGTTATTTTTCGGTCATTTCTTTTCGGCAAACAATCAGGAAAGCTTTGTTAAAAGAATTGTATCATGAATACGGAAGGTGCTTTCGCAATACATTTTGAGCAGTTTGCTTTCTTTCGTTTCTGATTTGTAGTTGTATGAGGAAATTGAGCCGAGAAGTGACGCAAGTAATTAGAGATATAACTTTTATCAAGAGAATAGTTTACACTACTTTTGGTAATGTTGTGTTAGTGTGATACAGACAATGTCTGCCAACGGAATATTATGTTAACATATTCCAACTGCATGCAATATATCTGTTTGAGCATTCGATTTCATGTCAAAGTTGGAATGCTATTCCCACAGTTCACAAATCACACGTTAATGCTGCTGCTCAGAGAGTGAACCTCACAATTAAAGGCAAAATACAAAGACCTAGTGGAATATATACAGAAAACGTTTCTCTTCTCAAAATGCTCAAAATATCCAGAAAATGTAATTTACACCAAAGATAATAACATTCAAATAGCAACTTGAAACTTGAAAGGCCTTTATTCGTGCAAGTCAGTTTAGCAATTACACTATCATACATAGTTGGCTTATCCCCACTAAACTGACCATTGACATTCATCCTTTCAATCGGACCGATACTAGCATAGTAATAGCACAAGACACGTGAGTTCATGGACATCCCTTTCATTGTGGATGACAATACCAACGACGACTGATTGATACCAACTGATGAACTTAGCGGTGCATCAAAAGCTATTGTTGTTCGACGTTTAGAAGGTTGTCTAACCGCAGGATTACCCCCACTGCTATTTTTTATGATTAGCTCAGGTTTAGTACTAGCATCTGTTGGTAGGTGGGCTACACGCTGATCATTTACACTGGTGGTCTCATGAGTATCCATGCCTTCTGCAACCCCATCCGTCTTTAATTCTAATACACGTTCAAGTCGCACAGAGCCTTTGCCCAACTCATAAGTAGCAGGCATTACGTTCATCTCATCATGATCAGTCAAAGACAAATGTGCACTATCATGATCATTGTCAAAAATATCCACTTTGCCCCCCTTTGTATGATTGACTTCATTATTTTCAAACTCTTTAATAACAGCAGTAGACAATTTGGGTTCTTCCTCACAAATCCTTAAAGGTTTTATACCTTTACTCTGACTAGTGATACCTTGTGAACTTGTGGAGTCAGAACTGCACTCTGAAGCTGTAACTCCCTTCTTCTGCACAAACTGCGGTGTCGTCTGTGACACTCTATTCAACAATGGCCTACCGGTTGCAACTACGGGCCTCTTCACTGCACCATTATCGTCACACAATTTGGAGTCAGAACTAGATGACGCTGATTTCACACTTAGCTTACCACTGAACTTTCTTACTGCTTCACAATTCGCCTCTGTATGCACTTCTTGCAAACGGATGAAACACGAACGTGTTTGTCTCGCAGCTTGTAATTTATCTGTTGGGGACGTCCCACAAAAGCTGTTACACTCATTAGGTATGTATGGATTACTAGACAACATACAGTTTTCTCGATATCCACTTCTCTGAAACCCTTTCGTCATAAATGATTGCGTTTTGCTCTCTGATTTCTCTTTTGCAGGAGTGGGATGCAGTATAATGGCAAACTCGCTCAAAGCTCGGTTGACACTCTCTTACACCAGGCTCACAATATCATCCAACCCGGGCTGCATACCCTACTCTCAGACGGGACCTGATCTTTATGAACTTTCTTTGCAGATGAACTGGTAATCTCTGTCCAAGAACTCTGCGAGTTCCTCTGAATTATCGTTTAACTGTGATCCATTACCTTTCACGGTGTCAAAGATACTACGGGATATCATAAATGGCTTTCCAAACCTTTGACATAGTATCCTCATATCCTCTGTATATCCTTACAGCACTGTATGCAGCAACACCAGTGCAATACCTCAACAAATACATTAACTTCATCTCGTCATTTATTGCAAACTCACTCAACATGACATCAAACTCTTTGATAAACTGTGGGTAGTCGGCTGGGTTTCCATCAAAGTACGGAGATTCAAACTTAGAGTGTCTTAAAGTACTACTATCCCTAAACGGCGAAGCGTGAACATCAGACTCATCATGCTGAGCATCATGCGAATCATTACGATTAAAAAGCAACTCATCGCCACTTACTTTGTCTGTTTCTACGGTGCCACGTCCCTTCCTTGTCCCAGGCATTATCCTACGTCAACAAAGGATCCAAATTGCGATGATAATCCGTGCAAAAAGATGCTGGCTCTAGACGCGGTAGGTACGCCCGGAGGAGTGCCAGATGGCGCTCCAGAAAACAAACAGGGGAATAAAACTGCTACAGAAAACGAATAAAAACTGTCAAGGAACTTGTCCCTAAATTCCTGTTGCTACAAAGACGCTCCACACCGATAAATACTATTGTCAGCCACGTCTCGTAAACCGTTAATGCCCAGCACTTCCTGCACTCGGGCTCACGCTGTTCCTTGAAGTTTCTCAGAAACGCTTAGTAATAACGGACGAAAAAACCAAAACACCAATTGGCGACTCGAGGATTCTTTATTATAACACCAACATATAAACACTGTTACAACTAAGGTCTGTGAACAAATATTACAATAATAAATCACAATATTACTTCTGACGGTTTCTGCTGACTTCTTTCTGAACAGCGACCGATGAGACGATGACTGTCGTATTGATGCCTCCGCGAAAATTGGGGAAGTTGGTTTTGAGCAAACAACCATGAATTGATCGTTCAATCTTCAACTACATTGACAACTATGTACTTTCTTCGACTTTAACTCCAAAACACCATTATTGTATGAAGCAAGTTATATTGTTTGGCAATTAAAACGGATAGCAGTAAAAGTCTGTAAACAAATATTTTATACAAAATTACGAAGTACTTATATTCGTTTTCGGTTGTCCTCGTCGAACTTGTACACGATCAAACCATTCGCGCATTCGAGTTGCCTAACAATGGCTACCAGTTCCAAGAACAAATGTCCAATGATCACGTCCATTGACAACCTCGCTTCACCCTATTTTAATCCAGCGAAGCTAAGTAATCGCTTCTTTCCTGGCCATCCATTGCGTGTTCCGGATGACAACCAGTTCATTTCAATTGTTTTGTCGACTAAGAATTACGGGAAGTTTTTAACCACCAAATATGGTTTACGTTATTTAACTTTTAGTAATCAAGTTGAACGCATATATCGCACGTAATGGATTAAGAAAAGTCCAGTATCTGCAAAAAATTTGCCATGATCTATTAACTGCGTGATCTTTATTTCTACTGCAGCTTATTGAGGCCTAACACATATACTAGTGTTTGCAGAAAGTAACTCTTACGGCATTATTTGCCCAAATGAATGTCCATCACGTCGCAGTACGCTTCTACTCCCTGGGCCAACCATATGTTTTCTGATGATTTAGAGACAGAGGCGAGTTAGTTCAACAACACCTGCGTGAACATAGATTATGGTCACTCTGTGGCTAGAGTCTATCCATTATGTTTCTTTAATAATACATTCTCACTTTTTGTACACGAGGAACGCCAGTTTACAGGCACCACCAATATGATAAATTACATATGCGATACGTAAGCATATTTCGTAATAATGATGCAGTAAAATATATATTTATCCCTACCTATGCAGGACACAAGTTGTACAGGTATGGATAAGTATTATTTAAATTAAATATATTTGGTTTATGATGAAATCACATGGTTGACATCTTTTTTGGCTTTAGTTTGGGGGTAACAATCTGCTAACTAGTCATTCAGTGGTGCACATCAAAAAATATAGAAATATTGTCTTCGCATTAACAAAAATGTGCGTCTGTGGCATAGCGGTTAGGACGCTCGCCGACCATGCACATGGTCCGGGGTTCGATTCCCGGCTGGCGCACTCCTTTACCTCAATAAGCCAGAAATAAAGCCGGTAAAGAGGAAAGGTTGGGCATGCGGCTAGCAATCCCATCCTGTAAAATTAAACACTGCTACAGAAACTTCAAGCCTCTCGCTTGAAGCCCTATGTTCCACTGGGAACGTGAAGGAATAAAAAAATTCACAAAAACATCCATGTGTGTTTTGAATGGATGACAAATACCTGACGAAAAAGATAAAACTTGAAGTAATCTCTCTCATACAACCTTGGTGTGTACGGCATCGAATCTTATTCTAGATTTATATTCGGACTGGGGACTAATTTACAATAAGTGATGCATATGTGTAATTTTGTCACCATTTTCATTGTAAGTAGCACTAGAAGTGAATTGTACTC